CCCTCTGTATAATAATCTTGTTAGTGAAGCCTGCATATGAGTGTATAAAAATGTATACAGTTGCATAAGTTATTTCAGTAATGTCTATGGAAATGCATATATTTTATAAAATTGAACACATATAATTATTTGCAAATGTTACTCTGTTGCATCTGTGTCATTTGATAATGTTTTCACCTGTCTAACTGTCAGGAGTTAAATTAACAAATTGAGGTGCTAAAGGAGTGCCATGTTTGCATTTCACTATATAGGGCTGGTAGAATATGTGGCTTTCAGGATATTGATAGACTCCAAGTCCCCTCAGTCCCAGCTACCATGACCAATGGTTGTGGATCATGTGAGCTGATACAGATTTTATCTTGAGGGCCACTGGTCTCTTGGTAGAAGAAGAAAGGGGAAATTATGAGGCAATCCTTTGGCATCTTTCCTGGAGAGAAGAAATGGAACATTTTTGGTTAATTCTGCTATGAAATAGCAATTGGTGGTAACAGCACAGCTCAAGAAAAGGACAGAAAAGCTCCAGTGTATTTAAATGAGAAGATATGCCTGTGGGGGAGTACTTAGGGACTCAGGACTATTATATAGGGGTTCCCTGAGAATATTTTGGAAGCTAGCCTTCCCCCAAAGCTCTGACTTACTATTCCAGGGTAACACACACTCACACACACACACCCCTTGTGTATAGATCTATGATGATGTGACCTATACAAGGTCAGTATTTATAGATCTATCTTGGGGGGCCTAGAATGAGGGGGGGGGCCTAGAACATGTCAAGATTTTAATTTGGCCCTAGGCAGGTTGACCCAGGTCCTAGTTCCCAGTTGGCTATAAAGCTGTCAGGATGACTTTGGGCCAGTCATTGTCTCCCATGGGGTTATTGTGAGCATAAAAGGAAGAGGAGGAAGATCATGTATACCATCTTGGGTTCCTTGTGGACAGATGGGATATAAATGTAAGAGCAGGAGAGAGGTCCTGCAAAAATCTGGTCCTGCTGGTTTTGCTGGTCCTGCAAAATCCTAAAGAAGATAACACTGAGTTAGATGGATCAGTAATCTGATGCTTTATAAGGCGGATCACTAAGCTCTCAAAAGTACTACAGCCAGGTTCTGTTTCATATAAATGGCTTACAACAGGGCTTCCCAATTTTTGGGGGCCAGTGGGCATATTTGGAATTTTAAGACAATGTCACAGGTGTTCCCTGAAAATGGCATCTTGCCCTTTCTTAAAATGATTGCCATGGTGGGGATGACTGCTCATGAAATACTCATTTTCCAAAAGCTAAACTAGCAAGACTGTAGGAAAAGCATCTTGCCAAAGAACTAAAGCACAAGACAGAGGTGATTCTGAATGCTAAAACACAAAACCGCTCTTTTAAACCCAGTCAAGATGGCACTGTGGGGCAACACCTTGCTTTCTGGTGAGACTGCTTACCAGATCTTAGAAAGCATTTTTAAAGATTTTAATAAATAAAATCAGAAGGGATAGAAACCCTGGCGGGTGCCAAGAAAGTGGTGTGTGAGCCCCTTGGTGCCTGTGTGCATCACTCTGCAAACCCCAACACATCTTTTAATGCAGGTACTTACGAAAACGAGAGAGATCCTTCCCATGCGCGCACACATCCCACTGGTTCAGATGAATAAAATAACTTTTTTGTGTGTATGGGAAGCAATAACTGTTTGAATGATGGTTTGGATAATGATGTGCTTCAGGAAAAAATTAGGCACCCTTTCACTGGCTTCATTCATAAATCTATTTTTTGTTTTTTAAATTTTATTTTATTTTACTTTATTAATAGAGGGTTCACTATTTGTGGAATGCACTATTAGTTGTAATGAGTCTAGCCAGGAAGCGAAATCAGTTATGGTGCCCATGTTCCGAGCATTATTCCTGGCCAGTTGGTGATCTAGCCTCAGTGTTTGTTTCTCAAAGCCAGGTTCACTCTATGGGCACCTTTCCATTTCTTAAAAGAACGAACAAAGGAACAACAGAAAGAGCCATGTCTGGTGGGACCGCCAGCTTTGATGCAAAGTCTTGGTGACCGACGGGCAGCCTCATGCTGGCCACAGAACATGGCTGTGCAGGGAGAAGCAGCGAGTATAGCCCTTCACAGCTGCCGTGGTGTCTCATCACTCTGCCACCAGCCAGCTCACCTCCGTTTGCTAAAAAGAGCCTGCACCTGGTACCTGTGAAAGGTCTGCCCCTCCTGCAGCAATGCGAAGCAGCCAAGCATTCTGGCACACATGCACCAGCTACACTTTAAGCATGGGCACCAAGCAGTATCCACCCCAGTAATGTCAGTTTTAATCCGGAAACCAGTCCAGGCATTCAGTTCTCTATTAAGGGACTGGCCCGCTGTTTTCTCCAACAGCTGACTTGCCTCCATATGGTAAGTAAAGGCGAAAGAATGGAGGCAAGAACAAGTGGCTTGCCCAGGGCCGCACAGAGAAACAGAATTAGCTTTTCACCAGGGTTGGGAGCTGGTTTGCTAAAGCTAAACCTGGTGAAAGACACCCACTGTTAGTGTTGGTGCATGAAGAACCAGGTGCTGCTGGCAAAGGAAAGGAGGGGAGTGGGGCAATTGCCTAGCCCACGTCTCTTAACCATGATTAAGATCTCAGTGGTGCTCTGTCTGCAGTAATAAACTGGCCTTCAGTTTGCATGATGGGTAAATACAAGCACCATTTAGGGTTTTCTTACGTGAGCACCCAGCCACTTGATCAGTCAGTTGCCTCTGTCACGCAGCCAAATGCGGAGTGGTCTGGTTTTGTTTTGTTACCTTTCCTCTCCTGATTTCTGATAAATGTTTGATATGTGAAAACATATTTACTAGGTAAAGCACATAAGCATTACCATTTTTCCTGCTACCAGGGCGCCACATAGTGTATTAGACAGGCTGCACCTGTTGAATTTCTGTTTCTGCCTTTAAAGTTCCAGAAGTCTTGCCAGACAAGGTGCTGGAAGAACTTTGCACACCAAGAATTAGAATAGTTCAAGTCACCTTTTTAAATAAAGCATAACTTCATGGCAGCCTACTAGTAATGATAAACATAAAGGTCTTGGGTTGATAGATTGCCTTCTGGTGAACAACTGGTAATTGCCTTTCCGCACCTGTGGGACACTCAATAGCCATAAATGCTGGCACATCCCACCCACACGGCTGCTAAGCCTCTCTTCTCAAATAACTAGCAGTTAGAGAAGCTTTTCTAGCAATACCTAAATGGCTGAATTCTGCTTGACGGCAATTATCTCCAGAGGTTGGTAAGAACTATCCCAGCTTTGCATTGTCCTACAAGTCCTTGGTTCATGGTGCTTTCTCAGAGCTGTGCTTTGCCTGACCACCATGTTTGTTGTCTAAACATGTGCTCTGGAAAGAAATGCAAGGCTAAAGGAAAAGAAGACAAGTGGCTTACCAAAGGCAGCATCATTGCCTCTTCTGGCATTTGTTGTGCAGGTGTTTGTGGAACATGGGCTTATTTGCCAGGCACAGTGACTCCACAGTGATCTGAGGCCTGGCTAAACCTGACAGCACCTCATTTGAAAAAGGAGGAGAGAGGGAATTCAACAGGATTTATATGGGAGGACCCTCCTGTTTGCGAAGGCTCTCTGGGATAAGAGCTTTTAACAAAGCTTTGAGCTTTTAATGGGTCAGATGCTTCCCCATGAATCTTTTATACTTCCCAGCTTAATTTTTCATGGGATTCTATGATGACTTGTAAAACACTGCATGAATAAATCAAACAGACTTGCAACACTGGAAATCTTTTTAGTTAAAGGAAGTGCTAATTAAGGGGACTTTAAAAATATAATAATCTTTAGGGTTTTGGGTTTTTTTTTTTTTTAGAAAAGATGTGATGTTTTATATCAATAGTTGGTACTTATAAAGTGATTTTTAAAATTGTTGTTGAAAGTGGCAAATGGGTTATGTTATCTAATTATGGAAGTATGGAATCATATTACACATCATTCTGTTATTCTTACGAATGAATATTAGAATAATGGATAAGGTCATTGTGGGGCCAGGGCACAACTTCCAGGCTCCCACAAAAATCGGCAGCAGAATCCTGTGCATGGTTACTCAAATGTAAGCCCTGCTCTGTTTGCTCTGACTTAGGTAGTCACAGGATTGTCAGCTTACCTTGTGATTTCCTTAATCAGGACTTGTGTGCTTGCTAGCATTGTCCCTGGGCACATGACAGTAGGTCTAAGTCTGGCCAGGACCTAGATGGGAGACAAGCACAGGCTGCCCTCAGTTCTATGGTGGAAGAAAGGTGGCAATGTACTCAACTGATCATAAGTAAAGGCTGGCCATAAGAAAACTTCCAAAATTCATACTATGACAAATAGCTTCATCAGGTCAACCAAAAAGTCACTAAATAATGTGCAGGCTTCTGAGTTCTACCGAACTCTTCATCAGGATTAGTTGTAAACATAGAAGTTTGTATTTAGTTATAATCCTGGGATGGGAGGATATAGCAGAGATTAAAATTAGTCTCTATTACAGCAAAATGCCTCTAAGTATTTTGGACTTCAACTGCCATCTATCCTGCCAGCAAGATCAATGGTCAGGGATGCAGGAAACGAACCAGGAGGGCACCAGTCTGGGGAAGGCTGTGCTGCACCAGGTGCTGTGATGGTTTCACCCAGGTCTGTCTCTAGCTCTGGCTGGAGAAAGATACTCTGTGCTGAAAAAGCTGTCTCCAAGATCTGTTTCCAAGATTTGACCAGGAGTGGAAACAGGTCGAGGCAATAGCTTAGTTTTATGTTTTCATAACTGGGTAGGGTGCCAAAAACGGTGCATTTCTTCATCTCTGGAGGTCATGCTGGGGATTTTCGGCCCGCTTCCTGCCCAAAAAAACCTAATACATTACCTCCAAATGGCACCAATGGCAGGCAAGCCTTAACAATGCTTTCCAAATGTTTATCATCACCCCACGCATTAGCCCAATGGCCGTGTGAAGGGCTACCTGGTGTCTCACCAAGCCTTCCTTCTCTTTCCTTAGAATGGAGGTTCAGAAGACTCAGACTTGCTGCAGCGTTTTCTGCCACTCTTCCTCACCTGGGCAGGTGAATACTGGGAGACAATGATACTTTGTCAAAGAAGCCGAAGCTCGAAGTCCATAGCGGCTCCTCGAAATACAGGAATGACTGTGACTCAGGAGTAGGAAGTCATTGCCCCAGTACCATCAGGGATGGAAGAAGGTGGTGATGTGCAGAGTGGGCCACGCAGGGCTCCTCTGATGCACAGGACAAGCCCAGAGTGACTCGACTCTGGGTATTATTTCACCGAATACAAATATAGAAAAGCCTCGCTTCTGTACAAGAATACTGCATGTACACACTTAAATGTGCAAAGCATATGTGTCCATTTTGTGAGGTGTACAAACTGTAATGTGCTGCTAGTGTGTATGCACATCATGCATGCACATCATTTATGTACGCGTGTATGTGGTGAAGTAGACATTGGCTGGGATCCTGGCTCTGCTTTCATTGGCAGGTACCTTCCCTGAGTTGAGATTCTGTTCAGAGGATGTTTCTGCCAGCAGAAGATGGGAGGTCCCCCTTTAGCCCTTTGAGCCTCTTGAAACTCTGCTTTGGAGAATCTGAGGATATTTTGGAACTGATGGGCAGGATGGAAGGAGTCTGTTAAAATCAGCATGCCATCAGTGGTATGTGCCACTGCATCTTGGTCCTGCCTGTCAACCGATGGAACAAGCACATTTAGGACTTAAGCCATTGTCTGGTTATCACATATTAACTGTATTTAGGTAGTTTTCCTGCACAGAAATGACATTTTGTGTAAAATAGTCTGAGTACGGGATAGCCAATGCCATTGCTTTCTCTTCAAACAGGAAATAGCTTGCCTAGTTAGTCTCACTGGGCAACCTCAGGTGTACAGGGTTCGTCTGCTCTTTCCAGTTCATGGTTCCCACATGCCATTAAAAAAAAAAAACTCTTTAAAAATGCTCCCCCTTTTCCCCAAGAGTTTTCTCCCAGAAGGCTGGTTCTGAACAAAGTTTGGTCAGCAAAAAATGCAGGAATGACAAGGGTTATATTTAAATACTGAAAGCTGCTTAAATATGATGGCTCTGACCACTGACCCATCTAGCTCGGGATGGCTTCTGCCAGCCTTCTGTTTTGGATGACAGTGTGGGCCATGCTGGTTGGAGTTGTTGGGGACTAAAGTCCAAGACATCTGGAGAGCATGTGCTTACCACTGTGCTATGGTCTTTCCCCACAGCTCAGGACCCCCCACACACACTTCCCTTCCCTCTTCATCTTTCTCACGCTCCAGAAAAATACAGGGAGTTAGGTAGGAGTCACTATAGGCCCCGGTGAGCTGGACAAATGAACTGGCAACCTGCATCCTCTCCCCTGCTCATGCACAGGAGTTTAGCAGTCGCATGCCATGATACCAAAGAGCAGTTCAGAGATAATGGAACTGTGTGCATCGTTAGGGAACGGCACTGCTTTTTAAAAACACAGCTAGGTAAGTTGTCTGGTCTAAAAGGCCTGCAGCCATAGAACTGTCTGGTGTAGTTACAGCCTGTGTGAGAAGAGGGCTTCTGACGATGGCTTTCCAAAGAAGGTCTGCTGCTTTGCCACTTGGGAATGGCTGTCATTTCTGCCACAGCAAGTAAGTGCAAACATGTCTTCTCCTGTTATCTCTCTCCCACCCTCCCCTCCCTCCCTTTCTTGCTCACACAACCCTTTTCTTGCACAGGCACTCTCAACAAAACATTACAGAAATGCTTATCTATTGGGGGCGAAGGAGAACAGGCAGTATGGACAGCATTTTTAAAAGTAAAACCAAGCATGCTTACCAGCCAGGCCTGCTGCAGTTAAAATGACTATATTAACTGGCATGCCGATAGGCCGTGCAATTTTGGGTCAGCTCCATTAGCAGGGGATGGGGGCACATTGCATCATCTTCAGACAGTGCCAGTCGGTAAGTCCAAGGCACTCGTGCTCAGACTGAAAGTGCAGGAACCGGGTCACCCTGTGATACTGACACAAGCTAACACTGACCCACCATTTCATTATCGTAGGAAAAAGGCGGTTGGTTTGGAGAGTTACTGCTGGATTGTGCTTGTGGAAGGCAAACACGGTTTTTATTTTAAAAGGCGCTTCCTAATATGCAGCCATTTCCACTCCATACGATAAATGCCTCTTACTCATGGAGCACCGCAGTCAGGATAGCGGACTGGCATCGGAGGCTGCAAGCTTCCAACTCCAGTGGCTGGGGAAGAAGCGTGGCAGAGCACTGTGCCCCTCATGTCCTGCCCGTGTGCTTCCCATGAGCACTGGGCAAGCTGCTGTGGGCAACAGGACGCAGGACTAGGCAGGCCTTTGGTCTGATCCAGCAAGGTTGTTCTTGTGTTTAAACAACTTTTTTTAATGCTTCTCCAGGACCTGTAATTCGGGTGTGCTTCATTCTCTTGGCTTTCAGAGACGCCCATGTCCCTCCAGGATGCGATGCATTTCTCATATAATGGTGAAAACAGTCAAATTGTGGAGAAGATTCTGCCCCCTGCCCCCTTCACACAAACAGCAAGGGTGCAGGGACTAAATGCAGCCCTCCAAGAGCCCCAAGCCGGCCCTCTGACATTCCCTGGAAGGCCATGCCCATTCCCCTTAGCCCCAACCGCCAGTCATTTGGTGGTTTCCCAGCTATTGTGCAGCTTTCCCTTGGTCTAAAATGTGGACATTTATTTCCTAATGCTTAATTGCTAGCAATGACAGCCTTAAGCTTAAGTATACTGCTATTTTTGGTATTTTGGTTCCAAACATTTTGCCTTTGCCGCATGCCAGCCCCTGGAAGTTTCTCTGCAATAGAATTGTCCTCCACACTGGTCACTGGCCTCCACTGCAGCTTTCCCCCGCTTGCTGTGGCACAAGCAGATGTTTTGGATGTGGCTTAAAACTCCCCTTAACTCCAGCCAGCACAGCCTATGTTCAGGGATGATGGGAGTTGTAGGCCAAAACTTGTAGAGGGCGCTGGATCTGGAATGACTGTAAGCTAGGGACAGGAGAACTGCAGTAAACTAAAGGGATTTTGTTTTTTGTTTTTGTTTTTTTTTTTTTTTTGCTAATTAGAGTCCTATAAGAGCAGAGGAGGTCTTTCCAATTACTTGCTATGTGCACCAAAGGAAAGAAACATTTTCATGAAATATAGAAAGTGAAATAAGCACCCATCAGGCACCTTTGTAGGTCTCTCATTGTTCATCCCATAAAATGTATGTTTTAGAGTGATCGTCCAATGTGAAAGGTAAAAAGGCGCGCACTCGCTCGCGCTCTGTGTGTGTGTGTGTGTGTGTGTGAGAGAGAGAGAGAGAGAGAGAGAGAGAGAGAGAGAGAGAGAGAGAGAGGAGATACAACCCTCCGCCCCACTTCCTCAGCCTCTTCTTGTTGCATGAATTTAAGTCAACTTTGCATTTATTTCAGTGGAGGAAATCAATCACCACTTCCATTCCTTTGTGTACACAGATCAGCTCCTACCACTGAATTATTGCTGATCCCAACATATATACGGGAGCACTGTATATGTAGATGTGTCTGCACAGTGGCAAGGATGAAATATGTCTCAGTTTAATTTATTCCAGTGTTGGGAATCTAAGCCAGCACTTTAAGTGCTAATTAGTAATTGTATGTAAGTAAGAAAAATGTGCTCATTTGTCATTAGATATCTTGTCCTTGGTCAATGCAACCCAATTTTGCTTTAGATTTTTGGATAATTTGTTTCTCCTTAGCTGGTGTGTGTGTGTTTTAATGTACGTACATAATGACTTTGGAAAGTATGCATTTTTCTCAAAACTGCACAATGTTTAGAGGAAACCTAAACAAATGTACAATGTTCTTTTTATGCTTAGCTTCCAAAAGTCTATGCAAAGCAAATCTATTATTCCACTGTAGTAAGTGCCATCTTTGTCAGCAAGACTAATTCCTACCCCAAACAAAATGCTGCTAATTTGGTAGGAAGGTTACCCACTGGTACAGTGAATTTTTTTAAAGTTACACAGTCAAGGATGCTAGTTCAGAAATGTATTCCATTATACTTGTTCTTACCCTTTTTACAGAGCATGATAAGAGTTCATTATTTATCTTTTTGTGAAAAGCTATAATGGAGGGACATCCTCTTTAAACTCTAAAAAATAAAAGCAGCTTCTCATATTGTAAGCCGCCCTGAGGCATAAAAATGCTTTAATAAATAAATAAATAAATAAATATTCTCTTTTTAGCTGTACGTGTAAGACATTTCATGTGTATATGTAAAAATGTTAATTGAAAATGTAACGTGCGCACATCTGCAAATGTATATGGCAGCCTTCCCCAGCCTCATGCTCTCCAGATGTTTTGGATCACAACTCCCAGCATTCCTGGCCATTGCCATGCTGATGGGAGCTGAAGGGCACAAGTCTGGGGAAGCCAGCATATCATACAGGGTTATTCATTGGGTGAGATGGAAACAGCCACAGTTTACTGGGAAACATACGCACTGTGACAGACCCACATTTATCATAGAAATCACACATCCTTTCACACTAAATGGTAGATCGCATGAATGCCCCAACTATTCACATTCAATAGGCCTTGTGATGATGAACAGACCCAACATTCATTCAACAAAGTCTTCCCTCTGGGTCCACTGAATGTGTATAAATTGGGAGCCACCATGATCACAACTTCCTTACCACTCATGTGTTTACATGTCATGCCCTATGAAAAGGCCTTCAAATTGCGGGACGGGAATTTTCCCATGCACCCCTTAATTTCCCATAGGATGCTGAGAACAGTCAGAACAAAGAGTAAGGAGGCAGAAATAAGGTTGGTGCAGAATGATGACTTTCACAGAGAGCTATAAAAGGGCTGAAGTGTGTGCAGGTGAAATCATGGGAATGGAGCAGAGCTCAGGCAACACACAGCTTCTCCACCGGCTTGTGCAATGCAACTTGTAGGACTACGTTGTCACTGATCTGTGACCTCGCTTCTCCTTGCTTGATCATTTGCTCTGAAGGTTATCTCCCTTTGGGTTAGTT